TGTATGTATGCAATGGAATGGATATAAAAATAAATACAAAAATATTTTTAGAGGATAGGATTGAAATAGATATCAAGGAAAACAGCACATTAATCTGCAAAATATGATTTGAAAAATGAGCTATTGAGTGTATAGTGCAAGAGGGAGAAAATAATAAATCCTATAACAAGGAGTAAAAAAGATTAAAAAAGATTTTTACCTTGGCTGTAAGATAACTTCTTTTCTACTTTTTCGTACGCAAATGTGAAAATTTGATGTTAAAACTCAAAGTAGCCTTTTTCGTAATTATCTTTTGCTTCGTCGTATACGAACGAACAACTGCTGAGATTTTGCTGGAAAATAAAGACCTTGTAAAATAATAGTTATAAACAATTTTACAATCTAAAGAAATTCTTTAAAAATAGTTACATGTAGCTATTTTAATAAAAAAACTAACCTTTCGTTCTTCGTGCACGTGTTCCTTTTCTTTTTTTTATTCTTATAAAAAATATTCAAGACTGCATGTTCATATACTAATTGAACAAATAAATGCTTTGCTAGCATACAAATTTTAATTCGAACGAAAAATGTAACGATAATAACGTGTACAAATACGTCTACTTCTGTTTAAGACAGCAGTGAACATACCACGCACTGGTATCAGGTTAAGTAACTTATGGCGGCATGAAGCACATGGCACAAAGCAACAATTTTATAATCTAAAGAAGTTGTACATACATTTATATTTATATTAAGATATGAATAAAGTACAAAAGAAATTCTTTAAAAATAGTTAGATGTAGCTATTTTAATAAAAAAATACTAACCTTTGTCGTTCTTCATGCACGTGTTCTTTTTCTTCTTTTTATTCTTGTAAAGAATATTCAAGAATGTTCATACACTAGTTAAACAAATAAATGCTTTGCCAGCATACAAATTTTAATCCAAACAAAAAATGTAACGATAATAATGTGCACAATACGTCTACTTTTGTTTAAGAACAGCGATGAATACACCACGTTGCACTGGTATCAGGTTAAGCAACTTATGGCGGCACGAAGCACGAGGTGTTTTCAACTTTGGGCCGCGCCGGCACTCAAGAATACGTGTGAGTGCCGGCAGCGGCCCAAAGTTGGAAACACAGCCGGCACGAGGCACGAATCTCTCTCTTTCTCTTTCTCTCTCTCTCTCTCTCTCTCTCTCTCTCTCTCTTCTTTCTAGCGCCCTCACTCGCTCTGCAAAACCGTCTAGTATTACTCGAACATGGTCTCTTACTTTTATGTCCGATTCATATTAACAAGCCGAATCTCGAATTGAATAGCGAATCTTTTGATGTTTTGCCGAAATTCGAAACATTTCGATGTCTAACAAATCAAATCGAGCGTTGACAATGACTTGGCCATTGACTGCTGACGGGCCATGTATAATGTACAACTTGTTTAAGCGTGTAATTTGTAATTTGCATACGTAGATAAAAAACCTTTAAATTTACTGCCAATATCATTACACATCAGATCGATTTACTGATTTTATAAAAATGTAACGGCGTGGCCGTTACTAACGCCTCGCGGGCCGATCACCCGCCCGCCACTTGAGGCTATGGCGCCTAAGGCGCCCCTAAACGCAAAAACATAAGCGATACACGGGTCACCCTACCCCAGGGGCGCCCCACTACAACCCCAGAGGCGCCCCACTACGACGCCGGCGTTACCCCCACCACAGCCTCGATGTAGAGTGGGGGAACCGCCGGCAGGGTATATAAGCCGGCTCGACGGATGAGCCGGCACCAGTCCTGTTCCGGACCTCCTAGCCAGGCAACGGGCTTCTCGTTGTTACGCCGGGTTTCTCGGTTTCTGGCCTCCTACCTTTAGTATCGGGCAACGGGTTTCTCGTTGTTACGCCGGGTTTCCCGGTTTCCGGTCTCTTCCTGCTACACGCCGGGCAACGGGTTTCTCGTTGTTACGCCGGGTTTCCCGGTTTCCGGTCTCTTCCTGCTATACATCGGGCAACGGGTTTCTCGTTGTTACGCCGGGTTTCCCGGTTTCCGGTCTCTTCCTGCTACACGCCGGGCAACGGGTTTCTCGTTGTTACGCCGGGTTTCCCGGTTTCCGGTCTCTTCCTGCTACACGCCAAGCAACGGGTTTCTCGTTGTTACGCCGGGTTCCCCGTTTCCGGTCTCCTCCTGTTACACGCCGGGCGACGGGCTTCTCGGTTTCCGGACACCGATATAGGCTATATGCCTCAGTACGTTCGATCTCCAGATTTCGCATACCGGGTGACCTGTAAGTCCTTTCCGGACACCGCTACAGGCTATACGCCTCCGTACACCGTATCTCTAAGTTATACCGGGTAATTTGTAAGTCTTTTCCGGACACCGCTACAGGCTATACGCCTCCGTATTTTGTTTATACCGGGTAGTCAATAAGTTTCTCTATTCAGGCTTTATGCCAACGAACATTTTGTTTACTTGTTTCTTTTTGAATAAACCAAAGCATTGTTAATAAGGAATAAGCGAGTCTGAATCTCCCCCTTCCTCCCGAATCCTGGAACCGGCAAGCCGATCCGCGGCGTCGGGAAAGGTAAACCGTTACAAAAAGCATAGATTTTCCAAAAATTATATGATCCATTTAAAAGAAAAAATATCACACAGTATATTATATAAAAAATTATAAGATAAAAAAAATTTAAATATAATAAACATATAATATTAAAATTTACTAATGAATTTAACATGTTTCATAAACATTTACTTATAATAATCTAATAATATTAATACCTCGCAAGATATATATATATATATATATATATATATATATATTGTACATATCACATGAGCACTGCAATATTGATAGCATATTTGGACTTACGCATTAAACAATATTATAGTATTATCATATAAATACTGCAATGTTAGCAGCATATTTAGATTAACTTATCAAACAATATTGATATTATCATAAATTTGTAGTATTGGCAGCATATTTGGATTTACTTATCAACCAATATTGATACCATTATAAATTTGTAACATTGGCAGCATATTTGGATTTACTTATCAACCAATATGGATATTATCATGAATTTATAATATTGGCAGTATATTTGGATTTACTTATCAACCAATATTGGTACCATCATGGGCACTGCAATATTGGCAGCATATTTAAATTTATTTATCAATCAATATTGGTACCATCACGGGCACTACAATATTGGCAGCATATTTGAATTTATTTATCAACCAATATTAGAATCATCATAGATATTGTAGTATTGGCAGCATATTGGATTTAATTATTAACCAATATTGGTGTCATCATGGGCATTGCAATATTGGCAGTGCGATTACATTTATTTTATAACCAATATTAGTTGTGCATTGGGAAATATTGGCCAAGTTATTACCAATATTGGCCAATATGACTAATGTTTAGCCAATGTACTGCCAATGTATTGTGCTACTAGGGAGAGGTTACATCAATTTCTAAACAAACAATCATACACCGTGCTAAGACTTTCTGTGTCTTTATGTAAATTAATTGTGGAATTTAGTTTTTTAATAAAATACATTTCGGCGATTTCCCTTTTTCTTCTATTATTTTCTTTGTGCAGGACAAAAGGATTAGACCAATCAAATTCATGGCCTAGAATAATTCTGTGCTCGCTAACAACAGAAAAATTACTCGCTGAATTTTTAATATTGCGTCTATGTTCATTAATCCTTATACCGAGATGTCGTTTTGTCTGCCCTACATAACTAGAATCGCAATCGTTACAATTGATACGGTAAACTACGCCAGTTTGTTTGTTAATATCTAATTATCTTTCCCTGTTTTTATTAAACAATTTAGTTTTTTGGGGATGGTAAAAATTACATTAAGTTGTTTTTTCCTTAGAAATCTATAAATGTCGTTAAAAAACCAATTGCAATATGGGATGACGATGAAGTTTTCCTTCAAATTGACTGTCGAATTTCTATTTAAAATTTTTTGATCTACATTGCTTGTCGCGTGTAACAAATTATGGGTTCTATTATTGATGTATTTTTTAATGAGTTTATCCGGAAAACAATTGTTTTTCAGTATGTTATTTACAATTTTTAAATTTGAGTCGTGAAACCGTTTATCCGACAAAAGTATTGCATGGTCAACTAGGTTAATAATAATGTTAATCTTATATTTCATATTGGATGATTTGAGAAGAAATTGATATATCTTCCTGAGAATGTTGGTTTTCTGTACCAATTAGTTATAAGATTATTATCATCCTTACATACAGTTGTGTTCAAAAAGTTGAGAGACCTCTGACATACTTATTTGGCGTTATTATCGACTTTAGTACTGTTCGTTATGTCAAGGCATGATGACATAAACATAACTCGATATAATTTGATTATTTTGACATAAGTTAAATCTCTCCGAATCATAATTTATTCTCACATCTAAAAGACGAAATGCTGTAACTCCGAGTAAGTCTTTAAATTGTAATTCATGTCTTTGTTCAATTAGCGTGGCTGATGTAACAATATCGGTTTTTTTTAGGATATCACAATTGTATTTTTGATAAGGACCACAACCCGTATGGTCGAAACGTTAAAATAAACATATATTAACAACTCTAAATTAAAGCCAGTGTTGTCAGTTCAAATTTATAACCATAGTTTTTCATTCCTGGCGAACGAAATTAATTTTCATCGTTATTAATTATATATTTATTAGTTATGAACTCTAAGAATTTTTAGAGAATTAATAGAGATGTGTGCTATTTTATATGTATAGTAGGTCCCAAATAAAAGTAAGATTTATATTATCTTAATAAGTACAACTTAGGTCTCCTTTCCCGATTCAGCGATTTTCGGATCTATATTTTTTTCTTGCATTATTTTTATTTAACACGCTTTTTACTAGTTAGACTCAGTAAATAATAATTATTAGTAACAAATGGGCAAAAAGTACGTACACGATCTTGGTGTAAAGTTGTAATAAAGTAATAACAGCAATCAATTGTCAAACGTTTCGGTTATTATTTAACCATCTTCAGTGACAAACTAAAATACAATAACTGATATTAACAAATAATCGGATAAATAAGAATAAATTAATATATCTTTAGAATAGCAGTGATATCAATCAAAAAACAACGATCTATGTCAACATATTAAACGCAATTAAAGTCACTCGGTGAAAACAATTATATTTCGAGGCACCGACAAAACTAGAAGAGAGAGGAGTCAACAGGGAGAGGGAAACAAAAAAAGAAAAGAGAGGAGAAAAGCGGGCAAACTTAAAGGGTGGATAAGGAATTGATAATTGAGGAGTAGGCGTCAGAGAAAAGTTTAGTGTCACTTTTTTTATTTAGGCTATTCTTTTGTCTTTTAATGTGCAGGATCTCAGAAATCAGTCTTTTTTTGTAGTGATGTTTAATATCCAAAATTTGTATACCGTCCTAATCAAATTCATGACTTTTCATGCGGTATGCAGATATTACAAGAGATGCTGCATTTCTAAGAATATCAGACCGATGTTTTTTGACACTAGTTTTAAGTTTCCTCTTCGTTTGGCCTACATAAGTAGCATTACAATTCCCGCAGGAGATTTT